AATCCAGGACAGCACTTATAACTCTCAAAACCTTAAACAGAGTATGGGATACTCTGAGATTTCCGAAGGTTGAGTAGGTATTATTGATCAGAGGCTACAAAAAATAAAAATCGCCATCATTTGATCTGAACCCTAATTGGCTTAGCTTAGTTTTTTTTTTTATGATGTTGAAAGAAAACAAAAACTCACAGAAAGGAATGTCTCCATGAAAGCATGGCATTGTATGATGCAGAGCATTAAGGCAGAAAGCTTTTAAATTTCTTAGACATCAAAACAGCACACAATTATCTAGTTGGTAGGTAAATTGGTTGATTATCATTGTTATAGCGCATCAACTGTACAGAAAGGTCATCGTAAGCTGCAGCACTGAAAAATTAGGCTTTAACTCTAAAGGAGTTCTAAAGGTGGTGCATCTATTCATAATACAGGAAAGAAGAAATCAAAATGGGAATTAAACAAGATTCTTTAATTCATTAGAGACACTGACAGTCAAATTCAGACTGAATGAATTTTGTTTAATCACAAAACCTTATCGATCTAGGTCTAGAATTTAAATGATAATGTCCCAAATTAGGGCTTTGAAAAAAGTGCTGGTGTTTTTAACGCCCTTTTTAACACAATTTCGATCATTTAGGGGGGCAGGATTCCAACCCTGCCTGTCAGGACCCACCAAGACTAAGAATAGATCATCCCAGCAGAAAGACCGAGATATACTAAACTTTGATACAAATTCGCAGTGAAGAGCCTTACTGATACACCACGGATGTTTATTAGGCCTTTCTATCTTATCATCAAAACAATAAATACAGCTACACCAAAGTATCCAAACCTCACACAGAGGAACACAGTTGTAGTTGTGTTAGCACTTGGGAAAAGCAAATGGTCAAGCCATGAAAGTATGGGAAGAATATCTTCCTATGACTTGATAAGACTCACGATTATATTATGACACGATGTGCAGGGTGTACAAATTTACTGAATAGTCACAACAAACCTTAAATTTCAGCAAGAGCTTGATAAACAAATTTAACCCAAGTTTGACCTGAACTTCTTTACTTTTCAGATAAATCAGTACAAGGGGCCTGGACTATAAATCTTGTATAATTAAAATTAATGTTTCCTCCCTGGCCACAGAAATCCCTAAATTATTGGAAGTATTCTTTAAAAAACTTTTAAAAAATAATTAATTACCTCTTCAATTGTGGCAACATAGATTAAATTACTTGCAATGAATAGATATTTCAATTTTCAAGTTTCAATCTTGAAAAGTTTAATTTAAGAAGGTTTCCGGTACAGTACCGCTGGGAGAAACTCGAGAGTATGATTCACCTTTTATATCAATCACTATTTTTTCAGAGCAGGTGTAACTTTATCTTTAAATAATTTATATACGCCGAGATTAATTTTTAGAAAACACAGACTTCCTTTTTTATAACTCTATGATAACCCCCCCCCCCACCCCACCCCCCCAAACCCCCCCCCAAAACCCCCCCAAAAAAAACCTACAATCAAAATTGACTAAGGAGGGCATCAAACCCATTATCATGTAAAAAATGTCTGTCTTAGACAAGCTTCGCATGTCAAAGATCTCTTTGTGGGCCTTAAATCGAGAACATGCTTCGGCCAGTACGCGGGCAAAATTCAAAAATAATTCATACCCAACTGAAATTGCTTTTAAATGTGTCCTGTGCACTCATATGATTTGACCTTAACACACTGTGCAGTTGAGAGCACTGTAAAAGAACAATCATTGCCATGAGTGTTCGCATCTCATATAAAAGATCACTGTTTGACCAATTAAAAGACGATTTTTAACATCTCCTGTGTCTCTACCCTCATCCTCTACCTATCATAATCACTACCAATCAATCAATGCCATCGCCTTCCCAGAGTATTGTTCAATGGTTCATTATTTGGGGGACTTTTTTCTCAGCTGGCCAAATAATTAGGGCAACAGTCGTTCAAATTTCACACCTCTGGCTTTCCAGGCGAGGAAAATTTCCATGCCACTTGAGAACTTTGGAGACAAGCAGCAATGAGATGTAACACCCACACCACCCTGACTGTCACTGTCGGTCGCTCAGGGCGAACATGCATAGCATACAGGTTGGCTTCCGCCGAAGTTTTCTCTTGTTTTGACAGAAGACTGAGCAGGCAAAGCATTTTCCGCCTTTGCCTTCGACAGGTAAAAATCCTCTGGAGGCCTGAGGGACGGAATTTCTCTGGGCATATCTGCTTTCAATTTAACTGTATGGTTTCCATCTGAGACAGATACACTAGGCTTAGAGTTGAACAGCGAGGGATCTCGGGGGGGGGGGTGGAGAGTAGGGAGATTCTGCCAAGACAAGATTTGGCACAATGACATGGCAGATGATATAATATTATGTATTTCTCTAGTTGTATTCAGGTTAGCCAGCAATTAAAAACGGGATTATAATGCGGTTTTGGCCCCAACGATAATTATATTATGTAGCGTGGGTTTTGGCTTCACCAACGATAACTTCCGGTTCTAAACAAGCTACTTTTCAACAAGCATGCCGAATGATGTTTGATGCTCAGCAAGCAAGAGAATCAACCCTAACTGAATTGCAACACATCAAATTATGGTTAAATTCAGGGGGATGCCCCCCCTAACTAAACCCTCCTATTAAAAACAAGTGAAATAATATTGTTCATTTCACTGAAAATTAGCTCATCTCTCGCTCTCTTTTGGATAAAACATTGATGGCCTACAGTACGACCTACTCTTGGGGCCAAAACAGGAGAATGCCTTTTAAAAAAAGACTGACGGTTCAATCTGTAGATCTCTAGGCCTAATCACTGTCAATAGGAATAAGTTAAAATTAATTTTACTAAGTGATTATTCCTCCGAACGCTTGGGAAAAGAAACATGACCTCTATTTCTCCTAACGGTTTCCGTTCTCGAGATTTTTCGGTTATTTGCGAGATTTAAGCGTCATATTTCATTCTGCCGTTCTGCGAGGACTAGGAAGAAGCATTTTTTGCATCTAGTTCAATTTCTAGAGCTAGAGATTTCTAAATGTCTGAATTTTCAGATACTTCAATTGTGGTTGGGGCAACATTCCCAGACTATACACTTCATTTGAAAAAGCCTTCAAAAGGTACTGCGAGAAAACAAAGAGTGCTCGACTTTGGCAGTTGCCTATTTTGCATTTAGTCACCCCTAAAGCAAAAATTAAAATCCTTCCTTGTAAGTGAACAAAAAAAATCTCCCCCCCCCCCCCGTTCACACCTTGCCTTAAATTATTTAAATACACACACGCACAACTCACACACACATGTGGGCCTCTCCATTCGCAAATAACCAACAAATCTCGAGAACACAATTTGGAGAAATACAGTTCAAGTTTATTTCCCCGAGCGTTCGGAGAAATACAGCCGACCATAATTTTATAATTTTTTAACGGTTTCCGTTATCAAGATTTTTTGGTTATTTGCGAATGGAGAGGCCCATGTGTGTGAGTGTTTTTGTGTGTATGTGTTTATATTATGTGCGTGTGTGTCGGGTGTGTGTGTGTGTAAAGTGTGAACGGGGGCACGAGCAAAGATTTTATTTGTGATTTAGTTTTTGCTTTAGGGGCGACTAAATACGAAATAGGTTACTGCCAAAGTCGAGCAGTCTTGACAAGTTTTTTCGCAATACCTTTGGAAGGCATAATGTTCAAATGAAGTACAATGTATCCGGGAACATTGCCCCAACTACAATTGAAGTATCTGAATATTCAGACAACTAAAAATTTCTAATCTAACTCTAGAAATTGAATTCGATGCCAAAAAAAAAAAATTTAAAAAAAAATGCATCCTCCCTGTCCTTGCAGAATGGCAGAATGAAAGATGACGCCGAACTATCGCAAATAACCAACAAAACTCGAGAACGGAAACTGTTAGGAGAAATAGAGTTTAAAAGTTTATTTCCTCGAGCGTTCGGAGAAATGATAGCCACTTCGTAATTTTATTTTAAAGGATTCTAATCATTAGGCCTATTTATAATGGGCGATCGCTAAGATTCCCGCATTTAATTACGATTTGCGTTTTTCATAGCCTTAGGCTAAGGCATGTTTCGCTTGGGTCTTACTGGGAGACAGAACTTTGGGTTAGGGAGAGGGACCAAAGCGAAACATGCCTGAAAAACGCAAATTGGAATTAAACGTGGGAATCTTAACAATCAACCTTGTGCTGATAAAAATTTATAATTTGTTTCAAAAATCCGGTAATAAAACACAGGGAAGACTTCTCTTCTAGACTAGATCTAGATCTAGATTTTCTAGATCAAACATCTAGAATAGATCTAGAAATCTAGATTCTAAATCTAGATTTAGATTAGATCTAATCTAGATCTATTACTCAACGGGAGGACTTCCATAACGAGCGACCACTATGAGACAGAGTAGAACAGAGGGGTAGGGGTAGGGATAGGGGTATGTGGGTTGGGGGCACGGGGTACTATAGGTATATGGGTAAGGATTGGGTTACAGTTTAGGTTTGGCCCAAAGTTTGGGGTAGGGTTAGGGGTAGGATTAGGGTTTAGGTTTAGGTTTGTGGCAGGGTTTGGGTCGGTTAGGGTTTGGTCTCTTTTTTATTGTGTTTGTTGGGGTGGTCGCTCGTTACGGAAGTCCTTTCCTTGTTATTATAATGTTATCGATCTCTACCAAGTCCAATGTCTTGGTCTTATTATTATAGGCTAGTCTAGATCTAGAATCTATCTCAGATTCAGATTAGACTTTAAAAGACTAGAACTAGATCTAGATCTACAACTTTACAAGACTAGGACTGATCTAGATCTAATCTAGATTCTAGATCCAGAATCTAACACTAACATAGATCTCTAGATATAGAATAGAACCTAGATCTAGATCTAGAACATCTAGGTAGGCTACTAGACTAGATCTAGAGATCTAGATCTAGATTAGAAGCGTAGGGTAGATTTAGATCATCTATTCTAGATTCTAGGGCCAAGTCAGAGTAACAACAAACCTCACCTGGGTATGCAATTTGGAGTCGATTTTCCAAGTTCCCATGGAGATGAAAAATAATTCACTTGAACGACAGGCTGGTCACCCCATCCCATCGTTCGGGTAGACTTGTCTGCCATATTTCACGTTTAAAAAACCCCTTAGAAAGTAAGAATTGCACTCTCTTAACTCTTGGGTTTCACTTCCCACCCTGCACTCTCATTTCTTGCTCTCTGAGGTTTCCGACTTTCTGATTGCCAGGTAATCGACTGGTGTGTTACTTTTGACAAAAATAGGTTAAAATCTTGTCCTTGTTGGAGAAAAGCTGCATAGATCTAATTGAAAGCATGAAATCCAGTGGCATATGTAACATAATTTTGCCTTGAAAATTAGAATAAAGAAATTGCCAGTTGATTTATCTCAAAATTAGAAGGGTAGAAGTGGATCTAGAGGTTTCAATCAAAGAAGCAAACCATTTTATAACAGTGTCATGTTCAAATTATCGAAATATTTTTCCTGTAAAATTTGTTTCTGCCAGACTTAAATATATTAATATTGTTGCCATAATGGTATTTGCAATTGCATTTTTTGGGTACATTTTTGTACTTATGCTTCATATCAGACTTTTGCATTGATTTCTAAAAAAATTACGTGCTTTGTAATGCTTAAGACGATTTGGCATTTATGCAGCGCGCATGCGCAGTCATCTGCTAATTATTGTTGGCCGTCTTACTTTCTTTTTTTTCTCCTTTTGTTGGGATGGATTATTGTTGAAGTTAAAAGATAAGAATATCATTTTTGGTTTTGGACTTAATCTCGATGAGAATGAAAAAATTCCACTAATTATTCTTGCAAAAATATATATATGTCATTATTAAGCCTGGCTAATAATGATCTATCAGATAGCCTCATTGTGCACATTTTCATTAATAAATATCCCCTTCGTTCTGAAACGGGAATCGGGAATATCCTATAGAGTCTACACACTTTACACTTCCGGTTGAATGAAATCGCAAGTTGTTGTTGTTCAACAAATGGCTGGCAAGGCTCAGGCTGGTCCAAGAGCTTGATTTTTTTTCATACGGAGTTAGGCTATAGATCTATATTTATGTGATATGCCCATCACACCAGACTTGATTTACGAAGGATTTAGGTTATTCAGACTGACGCTGCTGCCATATCCTGTGTTTTTACTTGAAGAAAGGTAATTTAGATCCCTAGATTCGGCCTGTCACGACCGAACTTATGAGATTATTAGAAGAAGAGGTCACATGACTCGGTAAATTAAGTCGTTTATGGTAAGTCTAATCTAAATCTAGATATCTAGATCTAGATCTAGATTTAGAGAGATCTAGAAATAGAAATATCTAGTGTGTACAAAAGAGGGTATTTTTTTACTTTCCCTCCCGTCTCACACTCAGCTACCAGTTGTCTATTTTCTACTAATATTGATGCGCTGAACACGAATATCAACTTCATTTCCGTCGCAAATTAATAGTTTTTGAAATATTTGATTGTTTTTAACCGAGATAGACATGCTTAGGACCAATCGGGGAGTTCCAGGGGGGCCTGCCCCACTGGTGTAAAAGAAAATCTGGGGGGTTACAGAGGGGGGCATGCCCCCCTGTTTTTACATATAATTTGATATTTTACAGTTAGATTTGAAATTGTCTTGAAAATAATTGATAAGCGACAGTTTTAGTGGCTTTATGTGTGATCTGCAGCAAACAGTACAGCAGTTTGACCCCTGAAACAGTGCATCTGTGTGCGGGAGTGAAAGTAAAAATTTACCCAAAAGAGTAATTTGTAATAGAGGGAGAAAATGAAAAAAAAAGTCGATTTGGTTTGCTTAATTCAATGATAGATTCTTATTCTAAGTTGCATACAGTCACCGTTGTAAAATCTAGATCTCTAGATCTAGATTTAGGCTAGACTCTAGCTAAAATAATGACTTAATATTAAAAAGGAAGAGGCTAGCCGTACTTATTCTTAATATATGATGGCCAGACTGACCATAAAAATGAAGTGACCATTCGGACTCGAGTCCGAATATGAAAAAATGTTATTCGGACTCTGATTCTTGTCCAGCATGACATCACTTCCGACTTCCTGTGACTCATGACTCCGGCTTCCTGTCCTGCCTCACTCGTGACTCGCCTCTGGCTGGGTAGAGACCGGGAACGCTTCGGACAAAATGGCGTTTTGAGCAGGAGCCGAGTTTTTTATCTTATGATGAATTTGAGGCCGGCCTGAAAAGTTATAGACCTTTTAATAAATGTTTATTTGTCAAGAGGTCATCAGAAGCAATTAAAGATGGCTCGTTAGCGTGTGTCGGGGTCGGATGGGCGGCCTGCACACGTGTGGCTGTGTGCGTGTCAGGGAGGGGGGCACTATCGGTCCGGGCGTTGAACGTCGCATACGCGTCAGTCTTTTTCCCCCCGGCAACTGATCATTATTACAATAATAAGCTAATCTTGACGTAGATCTACGCAATAAATTGTGCGCTGGTCTATGGAATCAAAAGTTGTCGTATGCTCAGCTCTACACAGCAACACAACTTTTTCTTGGTAAACAATCGAGATGACACAGGCTTGTGTATTTGAACGAATCAGTCTTTTTTTTTTACACAGCTCATAATATGCAGGTGCCAGGTGGTCTGCTAATCTTCAATTTTACATTTTTCTACAACAAAGAAAGTGGAAAACATGGGGGGTGTGGGGGGGGGGGGGGCGTATCAATGAGGCGGCGGGCATCGGATCGGCAGAAAAGGTGTGGGGGAAACTAAAAAATGGCAGAAAATGGGAAGCCCTGAACGTTAGATCTATAGAACGAAGACACTTTCTTTTTTCCGGACCCGAGTCCGAATAACATTTTTTCGGATGGGCGGCCTGCACACGTGTGGCTGTGTGCGTGTCGGGGAGGGGGGCACTAGCGGTCCGGGCGTTGAACGTCGCATACGAGTCAGTCTTTTTCCCCCCGGCAACTGATCATTATTACAATAATAAGCTAATCTTGACGTAGATCTACGCAATAAATTGTGCGCTGGTCTATGGAATCAAAAGTTGTCGTATGCTCAGCTCTACACAGCAACACATTTTTTTCTTGGTAAACAATCGAGATGACCCAGGCTTGTGTATTTGAACGAATCGGTCTTTTTTTTACACCACTCATAATAAAGAAAGTGGGAAACATGGGGGGGGGGGGGCATATCAATGAGGCGGCGGGCATCGGATCGGCAGATAAGGTGTGGGGGAAACTAAAAAATGGCGGAAAATTGGAAGCACTGAACGTTAGGTCTATAGAATGAAGACACTTCCTTTTTTCCGGACCCGAGTCCGAATAACATTTTTTCATATTCGGACTCGAGTCCTAATAAAGACAGCCTACATTTTTAGTTTGCAATACCTAAAGTATTTGTATTTGGGATGAAACCAGGTGTCTTAATGACAGTGCGTATATTTTAAACCTCCTGTTTCCTAATGTTAATAGGGCCTAAGATAAGTACTGCTAGACTGGCAGGCTAGCCGTACTTAGGCTAGACTTCTTGGCTAGCCGGCTAGGCTAGCCGTACTTAAGTACGACTAGACTGTCAGGCTAGCCGTACTTAATGGCTGATTGTAAATGAAACTTTTAGTTTACAAAGCCTAAAGTATTTGTATTTCAGACAAAACCAAATGGTGACTTACTGACTTGCATTATTTAAACCTGAATAATTACTAGATCTAGATCTAATGAGACCTGTGTACTCAACAGGTTCGAGTAGATAGGGCCAAACCTAGATCTAAGTACGGCTAGACTGGCAGTCTCAGGCTAGCCACTTCAATATTAAAATATATATATGGTAGTGTCAATTGCCACCGAGTAAATTGGAGCTCTTTTGCGTTGATGAGTAGATCCAGCCTATTGTGCTCAAGTGCTCGGTGTTGTGCGTTCGCCTCTCTGTTCCTCTGTGTGTCTGTGTGTGTGTGTGTCATGTCTTTTCCTGACCTCCGTCCCCCCAGATTTATGTTCACCGGTATGAAATGAATTTCTGCTCGAGTTTGTGTGCGTTTGTGACTTTCTACCTCTAAAATTGCCTATATACTGGTTCTATACTGAAGTGTAGGCTAAGGCTAGGTTAGATCTAGGTCTACGTCTCATTGAAAACCCGCAAAGTTGGTACAGTAGCTCTAGACTAGATGCTTGTCCGTGGCTATTCGGACTCAAACTCCAATGTGCGTGCGCAATCACTAGTAGGTGTACTGGATGTGAAGCAGACATGCAATTCGACCTCGGCCTTCCTCAGTTTCTACGATCTGGCCAAGGAACTTACAACAAATGGGCGCTGACCGTGGTGACCCAGTGCGAACTGTGGTCTTTTCTTTACAAAGGATAATATATGCAAAAAAAAAGGGGGTGAAGGTGGTGGGGCAGGCCTGAGGAAGTAAGATGGAGAAAGAAAAAGTAAGAGAAAGAGAGAGAGAGGAAAAGTAAGAGAGAGAGAGAGAAAGGTCTTATAAGGACTGATTATGAATTTTATGTTTTGATCCCTTTGTAGTCGTGAAACGCAGTGTAATAGCCTACCAGTAGTTTAAAGTCTGAATAGCAACGGGAGACTATTTGGACTCAAGTATAGACCTCCCTTACTGTGCAACTGGTGATTGCGCACGGGCACTGGAATTTGAGTCCAAATAGCCTCCAGCGGCTGTTCGGACTTGAGTTTGAATAGCCACTTCGAAATTTGGAGGTACCGCATGGAATGACGTGTCGGGTCAGTGGCTTGACGTATTATCCGTATCGATGTGTTTCACATGCTAAAATTTCACACTTGCGGCTAACTGCAGCGCGTCAGCCATGCTCTGGTGATGGAAGATCGCTTAGATCGTTGATGTTCAGAGCCGTAAGAACGCTGATGCTTGAAATTGAAACATGGTAGACACACTAAAATTGCCGCAAAGACGCCTGGAGATTACACCCCCCCCGACCCGATAAACCATGCACGGGGAAGAGATGAGCGGCAGCTTCATCGGAGCACTGCATCATTATTATCACATTACGTCTCCTGGAAAAACATCACACCATACTTGCCATGGTACACGATCTTTGGTGCAATGCGGTTCGCTATGTTTAGATCATGTAGTCACCTGATCGGAGGTGTATCCCGGTCCGATGACACGCAAGATGACCGCCTTACCAAAAAAATAGTTTGCGTCATTCTACGTTTAGTCACATGTGGCCAGTTAGGGTATTAGTATTAGCAAAGTGAGTATTCCCAACCGCGGTGGGAATTTGATTTTTTTGAGTTATTCCCACTCGGGTCGGGTCACTTCTCATCTTTCCTATGGCAACATTTAGGTAAGCCTACAAGATTATTGAGCAAGAGCTTTACAAAAAGTCTTGTAGATTTAGGATATATCTAGATCTAGTTTTATTAGATATGTACTGCAGGCTGAAAGCCGACCTCTATACCTAGGGTGAAAATTAGACAATTTCCACTTGCAGATCTAAGTACTAGATCTAGATGTAGTACACCACTACAATTTTACGCTGGGTCTGGAAATATTGAGCACATTAAAACGAGTCGAGATTGCAATGCTAACAAGGAAAAATATCACTTTTAGCTTTTGAATGTTTTCTGTCATGTGAATATCTAATCATCAATCTCATTGAAAGCAAAGAAAAAGACCAAAAATGAATATATATATATACAGTCAAACCTGCCTTAACGGAAACTTGTGTAAAACAGAAACCTGTCTTAACTGAATCCCCCCTTGATATATTCCTCTATAATTACCTGTATAAAACGGAAACCTGTTCAACGCGTAAAGGGAAAGAAAAATCCGCTCCCTTCCGAGGGTTTCACCTGTCTAAGACGGAAAATGCTTTGCCCGCTCAGCCCTGATTTGAAACAAAACTCGCAAGTTTGGTGCCGCTGGCTCTAAACTTAACGCCATGGCCATGCCGCTGGGCAATTAAGGGGAGTAGGGATGAAATGGGGGTTGAAGTTACCCCATCATGTGAGCCCTGAACAATACAGATGGTCAGTGTAGTGTGGGTGTGATATCTCACGACTGCCCGTGAGAGTGCTCGAGTAGCCAGCCATTACGGAAACTTTCCTGGGTAACCAGAAGCCAGAGGTGTGAAATTAGATTGACCAATGCCTGCCGCCCTGATCGTACGGCCAGCCGAGAAAGGAGTTCCTCGAATCGTTGTTACATTGATGGCAGTGACGGGTGGCATTGTTGGTGGGACTAAAGGTGGAAGCAAAGGAGATGTTCAAACGTTTCTGTTTTTATTAGGTCAAACAGTGGTCCTATGAAAGGCAAGCACTGGTGGTAATTGGATACATAAGACTGACGCATGTCACTATCAGACAGGATAGCAGCTGAGAGGTGTGAAGTTTTGACCACAGCTGCCTAGGGTAGGGTCCCGCTCCAAATATCCCCTCTTTTGTGCGTTGTTGGTTGGCTGGCCCTCTGAGGAACTCCTTCCAAATACTATTAATAAATCTCCGTCACAAAGAAAATCGAATTGTTAACAGTAGTTCCCGCTTCTCACACACATTTTGCATACACTCACTACGCAAATGCATGATGTATGGCCTATGTCACAGCTCACCAATTACACTTTTTAGTGGTAAAACTTGTTACAAGAACTTAATTTTATCATGAACACTTGGGGGTTCTCGTGGTCTAGAGGATAAGGTATTCGCCTATTATTCAATATTCAATAGGTTCAGGGTTTGAATGCTAATAGGGACGGAAAATTTTCTCCTCTCGCATCCTTTCCTGCTCTCTAACAATGTTGCTGTCTGTTTTCGTCTCCATTTTCTGCCCCACCCCCTCACCTCCTTTGCTTCCTCCCCTGGGCACCTGACTCGTACTGGGGGCTCTCGTGGCCTAGAGGTTAAGGTGTTGGCCTCTCATTCAAAGGTCCCGGGTTTGAATCCGGGTAGCGATCGAAAAATTTTCTTCTCTAAACTTGTCTCCTTTCACCTCCTTCCCAACAATGTTCAGTCGTCTGCTTTCGTCTCCTCTTTCTGCCCCCATCCCCTCACCTCCTTTGCCCCCTCCTCTGGGCTCCTGACTCTTTCTGCAGCCTTTCTACTGCTACTCCTTGGCTCCTTCTTACTGCGGTCTTTCAGCCACACCCCTGATCTTCCGGTAGGAAAGATCTACACTTAGCCATCACTTAGCCTTCTCGGACAAGGGCAAAAAATCTCGGATGTACCGTGTGCAAGTGGCACACGTTGAAGATCCCTTGGTGGTTTAAACTCAATAAGAGTAGGCTTCAGCCGCCACCCGAGCAAAATTCAATATTTCATACCTACTGAATAAGTTTAATGTGTGTCCCTCGCGCTCATATGACCTTATGCAGTTGCGAGCGCTGTAAATCACTTTCCAAAAAAAAAAAAAAGACTCTTACATGTTACTACAGCCTCTCTACAGCTACTCCTTGGGTCCTTCTTACGCTCTGTCTTTCAATCACACCCCTGATCTTATGGAAGGTAAGATCTACGCGTAGCCTTCTCGGATAAGGGCGAAAAGTTTCGGAGGTTCCTTGTGCAAGTTGTGCACGCTAAAGATCCCTTTGTAATCCAAAATCGATAAGATACTTAGGCATCATCTGTCACCCGGTCAAAATTCAAATGTTCCAACCAACTAAAGTGTTTTAATGTGGCCCGCAAGCTCATATATATATGACCTAATGCAGTTGCGAGCACAGTAAAACACTTGTGTAGCACCCCAAAAAAAAGTAATAATTTTAAAAGATAAATGTGTCACGACGCAGTGGAATCAGGTGTTCGTCCACTTTTGGGCATGCGGAGTTATTGGTATCATCTGAACGTTGTTTTAATTTGACTGGCTTCCTATGAAATCCATTTATCATGAATAGAAGTCAAAATATTTGCGATTTAAGGAGGTGAGTTCACCTGATTTCAGTGGTGAAATTAGAGAGAAAATGGCCGCCAAAGTTTGGTAACTCCATTTGCCATAGAGTCCTTGAATACGGAAAAGTGACAAATTTTGTGTCCTTATTCAATATTTTTCAGTAAAATTCACTTGTGGAAATGTGTTTTTATACTTTAAAGGTTGGGTCAAAAAATAAAAATTCAATACAAATTTCCAAAATGGCGGGAAAATGCTTGTTTCTCCAATTTCGTTTATTTTAATGAGCGCCTGTTTCACCATGCTGCCTCACAATTAACACTTTTTTATACTCTAAATGTTTTCTAAACATGAGTTCAATAAGAATAAATGCCGTGATTAGAAAAAAATGACGGTCTTGCTTTTGAAAGCGATATATTAACCCCGGCTGTAGACCTTTTAAAATCTGTAGAAGCCATCCTTTGGGATTTTTATTTATTAAGGAATTTTCTAGACTACGGCTTGAGAGGTGTTTACAAAAATATTGATAATAATGATAATTTTTATTATAATATTAGACTGCATTTTTATATAGTACTCTATCCCATACTAGTATTTTATAAAAGCCCTGAGGGCTAAAATTACAGTGTATAAAAGCAACGAGGGCAATAGGAGGTAAATTTCTGCTTCAAAAGCTGAATCAGTGAATGTGTAAATTCCTGCACTGACTGCACTGTTATATTGAATTTTCTGATCTATTCTCAGTGGTGACATTTTGATTTTGCAGAGCATTTTATGCGTTGATCTTCGATTTGTTTACTCTGTAAGTTGTTTGTGATTTCTGAGGGTTTTGATTACATTTAATATTATTTTACAGTGAAACTATATTAACAAGGTCTTGGGGCATGACCCGCAATTTAATTGAATCTAAGTATTATACACACTACGTGAGCACCAACAAGTTGCATTGCAGTGAACGGCCTAGCCCATGACAACATTTGGTCCCACAGACTCATGTGCAATTCAATTCATTCATTGATCTATGTCTAGGCTAGCCTATTATTGTTCATTTGCCAGGGACAAGTATATGACAGTGATGGGTCTGTATCTCTACTAAACTGATGGTTTATGTCTGGAATGTTTGTAATGTTCTCGTCAACAGGGAAATGTTTGAATAAAAAGCTATGCAGAAAAATGTATTGATAGTGTGTTGGCGAAAGCTGTCAAACATGCTCACCCATTTTTGGTTAAGTCAATCATTTTAATAAATATTATCTTTCTTTTTCAGGTTTTCAAGGGGCATGTGATCCAAAGATTTGTTTGAATTAGCGCATCTGAAGTGAAACGGCTGTATAAATAGAAATTCTTCTTTGCTCTGCTTGAAAAATAAGAATGGGCAAGCATATTTTAGTCCCTGTAGGTCGTTTCAGATTTGATCTGAATGACATCACTATAGAACCTGTACAGTTTTTGTACATGTTCGCAAACTTTTTGTTCTTTCCCACTTTTCAAGCATTGATATTCAACAAAGTGTGCTTGCAGACACATGATGCTGACTTCTGTAGTGAGTTACAAAATAATGAGACTTTCAAAGAGAACCATACATCTGAAAATCACGATATCACAGCAGAAACGTCTCACTGGATCTTGAAAACAAATATTGCTTTGACAGCACCATCATTCTTCATGGTGACATTGTTTTTAGGACCGCTTGGCGATAAAATTGGAAGGAAAATCCCTGTACTTCTACCGTGTATAGGTGCGCTTTTTTCTTTTATCGCTTGCCTTTTGAATGCCAAGTTCATGACAGCATCATTATACTACTTATTGGTTGGTCCTCTTGTGAATGGATTTTTCGGTGGCTATATTGCTGCTATTATGGCTAGTTTTAGTTATGTAGGGCATGTTTCGAGTCCAGAGTCTAAAATGATGAGGCTTGGAATTATAGAAGCCATGTCCTTTCTCTCTGGAACTATTGGAGTATTTGTGTCTGGAGTTATGTTGGACAAGCAAGGGTTCATTTTCATTTTTGCGACTCTGATTGTCGTTATTTCTTTGGCCATAATCTACACAATTGTATGGGTGGAAAATATTCGTTCTCACATACAAGATGCTGAGAATGTTGGATGCAGCGCTTTCCTGGTCAAGTTTTTTAAAGACTCCTTTAGCTGTGTGGTGAGGCAAAGAGAAAGTCGAGTCTTCTCCAGCCTTGTCTTGCTGGTGATCAGTATTAATATGGTAATGCTGTGTACTACTGGTAAGATTTAGTTTCTACTCTGTTTGATGTTGTGACATAATGAATGTGTAGTATTTATGTGTCAAGAATTAGTGGGATCGGGCGCTCGTTAACTTTTTGGCATGGGGATTTATTCCTATCATCTTAGGCATGTTAATTTATCTTGCTTTCTATGAAATAAGAACTCACCTTTATTCTACTTCTATCATGAATGGAATTCGAGATATTTGCCATTGAAGGGGGAGAGGGTCATCTGGTTTAAAAAGAGGTAAAATTACCTAGAAAGTGGCCTCCAAAGTAAGGTGACTTCCAAAGCTTGAGAGTCTTTGGACACTGCCAAATTACATTTTTTGTGCTTTTAATTGTTTTTCGCCACATTGAAATGTGATTATAAATTGACTTTATGGGTTTTGAGCTGAAATACAAAAATTCAGGGAAAATTGCTATACGAGCGTAAAAATGTCAGTTTCTTAAATTTCTTTTTTTTTACGAGCACCTGCTTTAACCATGCTGCCTCTCGTATATAATAAAAACCTTTAAAAAAAAGACATTTATTGGTTGGTTTTATTTTTACATCACATATTTTTAACCTACTTTAGAAATATTTAGGGCGAACAACATTTTAGGGTTTAGAATAAATATGTTTTTATAGGATTTTAATGTTTTGTTTGATTGCTTAATGAAGGAAAAATATTTGAGTTTTCTTCTAAGTACACCCCTTGATTTTAACTCTTAATTAGAAAGGAGAGAGCAGTCTCTAATCCTTCTGCATGCTAATTTGTTACAAATGCATTGTTATGACTTGTATGAGAAAAATATGACTAACCATAAATTGTAACATTTGTTGTCTCTTTGGGTTTCCTCCACAGGTGACATGGACATCGCCCTCCTTTACCTCAAGGAAAATCTAAACTTCTCCCAGACATTGTTTGGTTATTTCAAAGGACTGGACAATTTCCTCAGGGGAATTACACTGATCACTGTATTGCCTTTGGTGAAGCGATTCACATCGATCAGAGACCTGCCCCTGGTTTTAGTGGGATTTATCTCTTTTGCAGTGAACTTTGTCGTTCTTGGGGTAGCTTCGACACAGTGGATGGTTTTTTTGGGTAAGATGTGAACTTTGTTTCTGGTCAGTATTGTAATTTTCTTTGTTATATTTTTATGTATGGTGTCCTTATTGATACCTGTGCATGAAGCTGCTGTGCACAATATAGTTTAGTTATAGTAGAGGTTTTACAGCGCTCGCAACTGCATAAGGTCATATGAGCGCCAGAAGATTAGAGGTGTTACAAGAGAGTAACAAACATAAAAAAGAAGAAGGGGAGATAAGGATGATAGATGTTTGATAGGAAAGAAGAAGCAAACCACACCAGAGTACCATAGTTTGAATGATGGCAAGGTGATCAAACACAGCAGAGAGGTGTTGAATTTGCTAATTGTGAATAAGGATAGTGAAGAAGAAGCCATTGAAAGAACGGCTGCTTCTTATCTCTAACATTTATATACAAATGATATATATAGGGAAATTCTCATTCACATGATAATGACAGGGATGAAAATAAGACTTTGTTTTCTCAGTTAAGTACCTCTAAAAACATACACTGGATGAGGGATAGACTCAAACATATCATATCTCTATTATTGGAAGGCTGATTGGTAGTTAACGAAGGTATGGTTAAGTACCTCTAAAAACATACACTGGATGAGGGATAGACTCAAACATATCATATCTCTATTATTGGAAGGCTGATTGGTAGTTAACGAAGGTATGGTTGTGTGAGTATGTAGACAAGTAATGAGGAGGAGGATTTGGTGAGAAATGATAGGCTTTAAATTGAGACTGAGAAGGACACATATAGTCATTAAGTTTCAGTTTTCACTGGTATGCCAGAGCATACAAGTTTTAGCTTGGAAGTTCAAGTTTACATGAGCACTGGAATCCATTCATGACTAATTTATTTGGTACAAAGAGGGTTAAACCAGCCCTGTTGTGTTATATCATATTGTACACTATTATGCCTTCAGCTAAACAATGTGTTTCTGTATGAGGAGTTGCTGTAGAGTGTTGATATTGAGAATCGCACCAAAGTTGCGGCATGCTTTTGAACATTCTCAATATGGTTCTGTAAATGTGCTTAGCTTTGATTTTATATTTTTATCACCCTTCCTAGTCTGTTTTCTAAAAACTTATTTGTACCATATTTTTGAATGGAACAAAATATGCTTGGCAAATTTCTGTTTAAGTAATCATGTTTATGTGTTTATACTTATTTTTTTATGTTATGTGAGTTAATGTTAATGTACTGTTAAATGTAAATGAAAGCTCAGGTTTTTGTTGCATGTTTCTGGCACTTACTAAATGTCTCACTTATTTTTGTTTCTTTTGGGACTATACTAGCCGCTGTGTTGGGCATGCTGAAAGGAGTTCCATCAGCTGGAATCCGGGCTATGATGTCTTCAATGGTCAGCCAAGATGAGCAAGGTTAAAAACAACTTACTTTTCTTAGTTTGTATTTGAAAAGGCAAGGGTTTTTATATAGATATTCATAGAGAAAGACGTTAAAGTACAGACTCAAGAGTTGTTCTCAACCAACTTTCTGTTGTTGAGTTTGAATAAACAGACTTTTCTTAGAGCTTTTTTTTCAACAGCAATTTGTGTGAATAATTGTACTGAGACTGAGAAGAATGACATACACAATTCTTAAATTCCGTAGATGTAAACGGTTAAAATTTCAGGTTACACATTTCAATTATGGACTGATTCATAAATGCAGAAGAGTGCAACACTTCTTTGTACTGACAAAAGCTAAAGAAATAATTTTTCTTAATACGTATAATCATTTACTTCATATATTGACAGTATACTTTGTAATATCTACTTTTGTTGATCCTCATGGAAGTTTTATGACCGTGGCAAGTGCAATGCTTTCACTGAATTATTTAGAGGTTATTTCAATGTTATTTCAACATAATACACATTCCCTTATGAATTCGGACAATTTTACAAACATGAGTTTAATTTGTCGCCACTTTTCAGCACCCTTTTTGTTTTTAACCAAACATCATTGTGTATCGCACAATACATAATTGTGTATCGCACAATGACACGGACCGTCCAGCTGAATGCAGTATTACAAATAGTGTCTGACAGTATTTGTGTGGCTGAGCTCCTCCACTTAAACCCCCATGTATGTCTGGTTTTGTCATATCCATACTTTGAGCGAGATTTGTGTTTTGCTTGCATTAATCGTATTATCATATTTTCTTTGCAGGCCGACTGTTTGGTATTGTGGCAGCTTCTGAGAGTATCATCACTCTGATAGCTTCCGTTCTGTTCAATGAACTCTACCCTGCCACTGTGCACATCTTCCCTGGATTGTGTTACATGCTGGGTGCAGGCCTCATCTTACTGATGTTTTTGCTTATTCTGTAAGGAACTTGTTTCTTCTTTGGCACATGTTTTACGGGGTTAAGATAGATCTTCTCATATATATATGTCATTCTCTTTTGAATGCGTTTGAATGCCTTATTAAAAAAAAAAAAATGTTGATCTTGAAGTAACCCCAGACTGTAGATAGAAGAAAGGAAAGAATGGATTTTTTAAAAATCTCCATTTTTTATTTCGGGGGTCGGGGATGGATTGGTCCTGTGATTTCCTCCAAGTCGATAATGGAGGATAAGAAAAAGGGGTTTTATACAGTCGAACCTGTGTAAGACGGAATTGCAAGGGAGCGGGGAAAAAATTTCGTCTCAGACAGGGGAATTTAGGGGGGGTGGGGGGAGGGGGGTTCAAAGGCCCAGTCAGTGGGATCAAGGGTCGCTTGTCCAATCGGCAAGCAGTGGTCAAAACTTCACACCTCTTAGCTGCTATCCTGTCTGATAATGACACGCGTCAGTTTTACTTATCCAATTACCACCAGTGCTTGTCTTTCATTGGGCCACCGTTTGACCTATTAAAAACAGAAACATTTGAACATCTCCATGGCTTCCACCCTTAGTCCCACCCACCAATGCCACCCATCACTGCCATCAATGTAACAACGATTCGAGGAACTCTTTTCTTGGCTGGTCGTACGATCAGGGCGGCAGGCATTGGTCAATGGAGCACTCTCACGGGCAGTCGTGAGATATCACACCCACACTACACTGACCATCTTTATCGCTCAGGGCTCACATGATGGGGTAACTTCTACCCCCATTTCACCCTACTCCCCTTCCTTGCCCAGCGGCATGGCCATGGCGTTGAGTTTAGAGCTTGCGGAACCAAACTTGCGAGTTTTGTTTCAAATCAGGGCTCAGCGGGCAAAGCATTTTCCATCTTAGACAGGTGAAACCCTCGGAAAGGAGCGGATTTTTCTTTCCGTTTCCGCGTTGGACAGGTTTCCATTTTATACAGGTAATTGAGGAATATATCAAGGGGGGAGCGAGGAGATTCAGTTAAGACAGGTTTCCGTTTTACACAGGTTTCCATTAAGGCAGATATAGATAGATAGATAGATAGATAGATATATGTGTGTGTGTGTGTGTACATAAACATTTATTTTTCTCCATGTAGCGTATGTGCCTTTTACTAAAAGACCATTCAGAGGGCCACTTTCCTTTTGTTGCTCGGCTGTCAGTGTGTGCTGTAAGCTTATGTGTGAACAGGTCACATGAGGAAATAGATGCTAAGGGATTTGTCTGTGAGCAGTTGTTCAGATGTACCGAGCCCAAAGTTTTGAAATGTCATTTTTATTACTGTGTCATAATTTGTGGTATTGATTGCAAATGGTGAAGAAATATTTGTCAAAATTCAGGTTCTAAATGAGAAAAAAAGCAAGGAAGGTACTTAATGTAGGTACAATTTCGGAAAAAAAGAATTAATGTTTGTTTGTCTTTTGTCTCTCTCTCTTGAAAAATTTTGCTATCTGGGCTTGAAATATTTGAACCACTTGTCGATGACATGTATTTTCCGGTCTCGAGATAATGTAAATCAAAACCTGAGGTGGCATATCAGTATGTGAAGGAGAATTGTTAAATGTCATAGGTATTCCAATTCCCCCCTAATAGATATATATAGAAAGCTATCACATTCAAGCAAGAGGCGCCACCCTTTTCATGGTAGAATTGCATTCATGAACATCTATACAGAGATGGATGGTGGTAACAGATTGCTGTTTTATAGCCCACATCCCTGTTAGAAAGCCGGCCCTGTGCACTTTATAATTTATTTTATTAGTGGCAAACCCTATAAAATTCCAAAATATTCACAAGCTGGCATTTTAAGAGGCATTCAGACATAATCATGCGATCAATTTTTTTCACAGTGTTAACCAGCTGTTCATGCTTACATGGCTGAAGTGTTGAAAAATTTGTGCAAGGTACCTTTTACAAGGATACAATGTCTTAGGCCCAGAAACAGCTTCAGACCTACAGCCTTAAATTTATAGTGATCAGTGACAAATTATAAATTTTGCTTTATTTTTCAGGATTTATAGTCTGTCTTTTCTTTCTTTTCCTTCTGTTTTTTCTTCTCTCTCTCTCTCTCACCCCCCTCTCTCTCTCTCTCTCTCTCTCTCTCTCTCTCTCTCTCTCTCTCTCTCTCTCTCTCTCTCTCTCTCCCCCTCTCCCTCTCTCTCTCTCTCTCTCTCTCTCTCCCTCTCCCCCCCTCTCTCTCTCTCTCTCTCTCTCTCTCTCTCTCTCTCTCTCTCTCTCTCTCTCTCTCTCTCTCTCTCTCTCTCTCTCTCTCTCCCCAATCCTCCCCCCTCCCTTTCTCTCCACCAAACCATGAATTGAAACTATTAATGTGTGGTACTATGGTAATATCATACAAGAACTGATGTTCAAGAATGCTCAGTAAGTCAACTAATTAATCCATTTTTTTACATTTTTTCATCTGTCTCCAGCTATCTTCACTGCACACTTCCCAGTGATATGCCTCAGATGTCATATCAAACCGTAGTCGAAGACCCACAGCTGCAGATATCAGATAGTGACATTCCATCATCTCTCACTGCCGAAGCCTAATCTCAGCTGGAAGCTTGTCATCTTTTTACTTCCGGTGCTTCCCATCCTGTGAATCTTTTACATGTTTTGAAATGCGCTCAAGACTACTCTCATATATTCTTTTAATGTACTGTTCCCAGTCACAGAAGTCTTATATTAAGTGATAAGATGCAGAAGTTTTACCTGAGGAAAGATCAGAAAAGTTTTTAAACAAGAGCTTTAAGAGTCCTGGTATCGTTCATCAACAGAAAATTCTTTTAAGTAAATTGTGAATTTTTGTGAAGGGTAGAATGATTTTTTTCATAGGTTTGTACAGAATATTTTTTAAGACTAAAAGAACCCTGATATGCCAGACAGAAGATGTTACTTTCACGAGTTGTGTCCTAATAATGATCTCTTGAGCATCCTAAAACATAAGTGAGTACCAACACGTACTGGAACTTGTTTGGAACAACATAGAACTTGAACTTGTCAGGATGGTTTCCTAATGTACAGACTAGTCATGGTTTCAAAGAGCTTGAATTATATCACTGGCTTTTCGTCTGTTTATGTGGTCTCATTTGCAAAAAATTGTATATAATGATGATGAGCTAAGCTCATTTCCCCATTTTATCAAAGACTAACTTCATTATGCATGTAGACTTGTAAAAGTATCAAGTCTGTGTGGAACCTATAAGGTGGGAGTGTGTTCCGTTTCAGTGACATGGAGCAGAATAAAAATTCGAACCCGAAACTAAAGCCACTCAAGTCAGTTAAAGTATTAAAGGGTACCTTTGACAATGGCATTGGGCTGCCTGGTAGGCAGGGGATGGTTCTATGTTGTTTTTTTTGTTTTTGTTTTTGTAAAGTGTTTTACGGCGCTCGCAACTGCATAGGTCATATGAGCGCGCGGGACACACCTAATATTTTCAGTTGGTAGGAAATTTTGAATTTTGCCCGGGTGGCGGCCGAAGCCTACTCTTATCGATTTTAGACCACCAAGGGATCTTTAACATGCGCAACTTGCACACGGGCCCTTCGAGATTTTTCGCCCTTGTCCGAGAAGGCTAGGTGTAGATCTTTCCTACCAGAATATCAGGGGTGTGGCAGAAAGACCTCAGTAAGGAGGAGCCAAGGAGTAGCAGTAGAAAGGCTGCAGAAAGAGTCAGGAGCCCAGAGGAGGGGGCAAAGGAGGTGAGGGGGAGGGGGCAGAAAGTGGAAATGAAAGCAGACAACAGAACATTGCTAGAGAGCAGGAAAGGAGGTGAAAGGAGACAATTTTAGAGAAGAAAATTTTTCGATCGCTACCCGGATTCGAACCCGGGACCTTTGAATGAGAGGCGAACACCTTAACCTCTAGGCCACGAGAGCCCCCCTATGTTGTTCATGTATGTGTACATATAATGGTGATGTACATAGAAATCGTCAGCACTGAGATAAAGTTTTTGCTGACAGTTACTCCCTGTGTTCTTGCAGATAAGTTGTAACTTCTTGGATGACGTGAATTTTTTTTTTTTCTTTTTAGTTTTGTATTTGTTGATCGTGATGTTAAATAGCACAAAGATAGTTTTACTAAAATATTCCTTCCTCTTGATGTACATTTATTCCACTTTACTAAACTGCTTTTTTGGGGGTCTTTTTCTCTATGTTGATCATGCTGCTTTGAATTTCCAAGAAATTCATGCATTGACAACATTAGATGATGTGCCATAATATATATTTAGCTTATGAGATGCCATTGTGTGTGAAACAGCTCTGTATTTTACAAGGATTTGTCTCAGAGGAGACACTTTTGTGCCCCACTTGTTGCTAGGTATAGATCTACTCTTTGTTGGTACTAGTACTTTCATATGGTAAGAAAGTTCTCTATCTTGTGAAGAGGCCAAAGCACAGTTGAAAGGTTGTGCCTTAGAAGCCTGAAATTTGAGTGAGTCAAACATCTTTTCAGACAAAAAACACTTTAGGTTTTTAAAAACTCAAATATATAACGTTATTTAGTATCTTTTTCTCACCTCCTCCTAAATGATCTAAGTTGTGTCTATCAGGGTGTAAAACTTCTGCAATTACAATTATTTTATAGCTGTTTATAGCAGTAGCAGTTGGTCTCTGTGGCTGCTTGACCCACAGATTGTGAATAATATAATAATTACAAAGGTTTTAACCCAATTCACCGTGCGTTGCCGTGGGCAGTGCACTTGTGTCCACCTGGCTTGCAGCGAGCCGGGGGAAAAAATCGATCTGAACTCGACACACTAGACTTAGACACGCATTGTGCCCAAACTGATTTAAGCTATCATTTTAAATTTCACTTAGATTTGACTGAAAAAGTTCTTTTAATATTGTTAGAGAGAAAGAGGAAAGAAAAAGCAGAGAAAACAATATATTCTTCGTCCGACTGCGACTCATCGGCACTCGATTTACTCATAGCAAACTGTAGTAAATCTGTGGGGCAGATCTAGTTTCTCTTCGAAGTTTTCAAAGCACTAAAATCAATGCGACCGACTTGTTTGTCTAGATTTATTTCTACTTTCACTTTCTTTGCCGCTTATGCTTAAAACTAAACTTAGAAATATGGTTCATGTATTAAAACAAACACAAAAATATCCGTGGCCCTGTTGGTTTTTTATGGTTGTTTCTTTTTCTTCTCGTCCATGAAAATTTCAGTGCTCGCTTTCTTGCCCAGATTTGCGGTGACAAAACATCAAAACTAACTCGTACTTGGTGAAAAACTGGATCAAAACAAGCTAGCAAAATTTTTTAAAATCACAAACGACCTGTTACTTCTAATAAAAACCTGGATAAATGGTTCGGACTCAATTTTGTGGACCTGTATTTTGATACAACTATTGGCATAGCTCGGTGGATGGAAATGCACGGCAGCTACGAGTACTCATAGCGCGGGTGCAATGGATTAAACTCCTTCTCTGAACCGCTGTCTGGATGGATGATTCAAAATGGAATAAGTTGCAACACATAACATGAGACCAGATTCTTCTGTCTCTACTTTCTCTCTTTCAATGGATTACGAGCAAGTTGTGTTTGTCCTGCTATTGTGTTATCTGTTTTGGTGTTCAGGCCCTCGTGATTTTGTGGAAATCTAATGAAATTAAGGATATATGGTCTTGAAATATGAGCCTCTGACTGAGCGCTGTCTGTAGTACGGTGTATATAAAGTGATGCACATGTTTGATGTGTATGAAAGACAGCATTGCCCAGTTGTTGTTGTTGTTGTTGTTATCGATCCAGCAACAGCTGGGCTCTCGCCCTTCTGTCCAATGCCATGTAGTGATAAGTGCAGGTCTGCTGCAGTTGCTGTAATGTTCCATAGAGTGTGTTGTCTATGTTAGGTCTCGGAGGGAGAAGGGTAGCTCTGATGTCATTTAGGGCTGTGCAGTGGAACAGGTGATGCTCCACAGTCTCATATGCATAGTCACACAAGGGACACATTGGGGGAAGTTCCGGGTTTATTCTGTTCAGGTGGAAGTTGAGCTACATTTGCCCAGCGGATTGGTATTCTTGTTTCTCCTTTCCCATCAGTCTTGGCAATGTATTGAAGTCATGTTTCAAGTAATCAGTGTATATTTGGTCAACTCAACAAAATAAAATACCATTTTATTTGGATGCTTTTACAGGTGACTTTTGCAAGTGATTTATTTATTTCTCCACACTGCATTTGGTCTTTAGTTAGAATTAGTTATTTCCTCTTTTTTTGGTACACAAAGAGGTAAAAAGGAGAGACATGAGTGACTTGTTGTAAGTCTCACTGAGCAAAACTTGTGTGTATTTTACTTCTTTGTACAAGAGTACTTGTGTCTGGAATAATTATGCCAGACACTTACTCAAGCTGATACTGATATTATTTTTTTGTAGCAGAAATACTTTTTAATTGATTATTGTCTGCATTTTGATCCTGTCATAACAGAAACCTCAGCTCAAAAGGAAAAAAGATTTTCTGAACAATACTTCTCAGATGTTTTACTTTAGTTTTCCGATTCAGCAGCCATCTGGGTTCTATCCCTTCGGCCTGATTAGTTGCTATTAATGTCAATGTACATTGCATTATTTGTATGGGACAATTATGCCTGACATTTAATACAGCTGATATTATTATGTTGCAGCAAAATACTTTTTATTAATTTTCTGCATTTTAGTTCTGTCATAACCTTGGAAAAGGAAAGAAGAAAGGGTGTTTTTTTGTTTGTTCAATAGCTCGTAGACAATAGAAAAGTTCATGTACATTATGCTTATACTTATAACATATGAAAATGAAGGATGATATGCGCTTGTTTTTGTTTTAAACATACTCTCTACTCTCATGAAACAGCTGATGATCTTTGTCCTAGTTGTTTCTCTATAAACCGTATGGGGCAGTAATCGTTGCTATTGTATATTTTGCTTTTCCGTGAGTTGTAGTACCAGGGGCTTTCATTATAATTAGAAGATTTGAGTATTAAAGTTGATCAAATTGTAAGATTCCGTTATACATATATTATTATATGTGACAAGACGTAGAGGAATCAGGCATTCGTCAATTTTTGGGGACTGGATTTATTGATATTATCTTAAAGTTTGTTCATTTTTCTTGTTTTTGATGAAAAAATGTCCATCTATCGTAAATAGAAATCGATATTTAGGAGATTGGAGGAGGTGGGGGTCGCTCGCTCTCAAAGGTAAAATTCGTGAGAAAATGGCTGCCAAAGTTTGGTGAATTCCATAGCATAGCTTGACAGTACTTGGAGACTTGGAAATTTTTTCATTTTTGTGAATTTAATCGAGGTTTTTCAGTGAAATCCACATAGAATTGTGATTTTAAAAGGACATAAAAAGTGCTGAGCCAAAAAACAAAAATTTGATAAAATTAGCTGAACCAGTAGAAAAATGGCAGTTTCTTCAATTTCATTATTTTGATGAGCGCCTGATTTCACCACACTGCCTCACATATTATATTTGAATCATTAGAACATAACACATTCATTACAACATATAATATACTTATTTTAATTCAAACATATATGTACATATATTTATAACTGTGTGTGTGTGTGTGTATGCATACAATGTCCTTAAATTCTGGACGCATACACAAAACATATATTATTATATAGGCATGTCTTTTTTTTTTAATACACATTCAGTGTTCAACAACATTTGGTAAAGGTCTACTTTTATTTGATCCCCTTTCTTAAAATAAGTTAAAAGAATCTTTGTGGGTAGTTGGCGGGTGCTCTGGTGTAGTTTTCTTCTTCTTTCCTATCAAACATCCCTCGTCTTTTATCTCCCCTCCTTCTTTTTTGTGTTTGTTACTCTCTTGTAACACCTCTAATCTTCAGCAGTTATGACCTTATTGTGTTGCAAGTGGCGTAGAACTCTTACTAAAAAAAGAAAGAAAAATATCTTTAGCACATGATGTATTGTCACAGCAACCTACATGCTGCCCCAACAGAGAGTGGAGATCCCAGATGTGCTTACATATGTTTACTCGTACAGGTACAAGTAGTAGATCAAGTAAATTCTCAGAGAAGGGCTCAAGGAGACTCCCTTTTCCTCCCCCCAAACTTTTATTCAATTGGAATATTGACAATTGGCTACCC